AATCTTTCAATCAGTTTAATTGAAGTCTGGACCTGGCATGTCAGTTAACTGCTAGTAGTCTGTTGTTATTTATGTATTATTGTCATTTTGTTTATTTTCTTTGGTTACATCTTCTGACATCAGACTCGGACTTCTCTTGAACTGAATTTTAATGTGCGTATTGTTATGCGTTTACTTTTCTACATTGGCTAGAGGTATAGGGGGAGGGTTGAGATCTCATAAACATGTTTAACCCCGCCGCATTTTTGCGCCTGTCCCAAGTCAGGAGCCTCTAGCCTTTATCAGTCTTGTATTATTTTTAATTTTAGTTTCTTGTGTACAATTTGGAGTTTAGTATGGCGTTCATTATCACTGAACTAGTATATATATTTGTTTAGGGGCCAGCTGAAGGACGCCTCCGGGTGCGGGAATTTCTCGCTGCATTGAAGACTTGTTGGTGACCTTCTGCTGTTGTCTGTTCTATGGTCGGGTTGTTGTCTCTTTGACACATTCCCCATTTCCATTCTCAATTTTACTAAGTATGTGACAAGTCAACTTGTTCGTTATTTCAGCGCCATTTTTACAGGCCGTTACACGGATTATAAACAAGCCGACTTGCTAGATACACATGTCGACTTGTCAGATATATAAGTCGACTTGCAAGATACACATGTCAACTTGTTCGCTACACAAGTGCACTTGTCAGATGCACATGTCGACTTGTCAGATACAGTTTCCTTTTGTTGTTCATATGGTAGTGATCGGGGATATTTTGTTCATTATCTTACTTTGTATATGATCTGATGTTAATGGATATGTATATTGCATGTGTCCATATTCCTCACAACAGTACTTTTTTTTTTGAAAAATCCATATTGGCCTCTTTCGGTTCAGTTTTATTTGATTTGAAATTGACCCTGTACTGTTGTTTACACAAATGTTTGTGGAGTGTTTTTTCTTTGGTCATCGGGTTGCTGTTTCTTTGACATTCACAAGTCATCCTTTATCCATACATAAATCTTCAATGTAATTCAGCATAATTTGTTATTAAAGTATTCGATAAAAACTTAAAGTCATTCTCGTTTTTCTAAGGGTAAAACTAATATTGTTATTACTAAATAAGTAGCGATATTTTCGGTCATTTCACAATATGATATTATCCTTCAATTTCCGTTCAAGTTGGTGAGCCTTCAACTATTTCTCCTTCATGATGTCTGGCCGAAATTATTTATCAATACACACCGTCATACCGTGCATTTCTTTTGTGTTAGTTTCATTGAAATGCATCAAGGGTTAAGAAAGACTAGCATTTATTATGAACTTCAGAAAAAAAAAACATTGTCAATTTGAAACGAATGCTTAGTGCATAAACAGAAGAAAAGAGAGGGGATATGAAATCCTTTTGTTTTCTTTTTTGTTGAACTGCCATTGCCTTTTATGGTTGCCTCAGCAAACATTTGATTCTTTTCTCTGGTGGTACATGTACACTTAAAACAACATTTCATTTAATCGTTTATGACTTTAAACACAGGACGAGATTATTCTCAACGTGAAATCATTACATAATACTATCGTGTAATAACCGGAATTTTTAAATAAATAAATATAAACGTCATAATGTTTCTTGTGATAGCATCTTAAATGAAGAATTGAGTGACTGGAACATTTTTAACGGATATGGGATTGGTAGGCCATGCATTTTATTACAATTGAACTAATTTTCATTACGTTAGTTGCTCATGAATTAAATAACCTATTAGTATAGCTTTACTTATAATTGGATTTTGTATATATCAAATATATCAAATTTTCAGATAAGGAGATTGATCACTAAATTTAGACTAAGTGATCACTCCCTCTTAATTGAAAAGGGGAGATATTTTAAAATCCCAAGAGAGGAACGACTTTGTCATAAATGTAAAATACTAGAGGATGAGAAACATTTTTTACTCTATTGTGATTATAATAAAACACTAAGAAATGCCTTTTTTGAAAACATATGTACTGAAAATAATAACTTTAATAATTTAAATGAAGAAGAAAAAATTCATTATTTACTAAATCCATCAACGCCTTTACAAACAAATAAGTTAGGATCCTTCTTGAAAAAGTCATTAGAACTGAGGGCAGGGGACTCTTAACAACTTGTTTGTTTTTATAAATTTTGATGCTGTTTTTATTGTGTTTGTTTGATATGTATGTATATATGTTTATTGTGTTAATACATGTTGGTCACAAACTGTAAAGTTTATAAGACAATAAAATATTTGATTTGATTTGATTTGTAATATAAGACACCAATAAACAAAGAACAGGAATGAAATTTAATATATGATATGGGTATTATACTTGAATAGTCCGATGCAGTTCCTTTCAATTAAATGATGCAATACGCTATTTTAAAACATTAATAACAACTAAGCGCAAATGTATAGATTTTGAAAAGAACTTCATTCTATACATTTAATTGCATAATAGGCGTAATCAATGAAAAATTCGAAACGGATAAAAAACTCTATATCAATGAAAACACAATTAAAACAAAATCAATACATGTGTTTGTTAAGCGCTGTTGTCACTATCAAAGTTTACTTCAAGTTCTTGAAGAGTGTTGAATTTACTTCACTGTTTTCTCCTTGGCAACCAGTTTCTTGTCCACCTTCTTCTCGCTCTTGTTTTACTAGTATTTTTCAGTTTCCTTCTCGAAATAATAATATACTATTTTCCTCTTCACAATAGTATTACACAAAATACACAGTGAAGGTACAATGCAGTCATTCTCTGAGAAATATATTATAATTGAAATATGTGTAAACATTTTATCTCCACCCTTCCTTTGACCGATCTCCTGAAAACTTTGATATTGACAACCGTTGACTTTGACCGATTTTTCTTGATCAAAGTTTTCTGCGACCAATTTTTTTTATGGGAAACTTTGATAGTCAGTGACAACAGGCTGGAAATACATATGCTGTACTCTAGTAAATTAAAAAAATCTAATTGTATTTTAAATTACATTACTCTTATGAATATTAGTAGTACATGTATTTCAATTTTCGACTCTCGTTAATAAAACTCTTTTCTCTCTTAGTCAGGCTATAGCAATTACATAATGCAGCTTTTAGGTAAATTTCATATAGCACTAATAAAACAGTTGATGTGTTCTTCGAAGCGGTATATTGGCATTACTTAAATCGTTTTCTAATAATCTAAAGTGTCCAGGTTTCTGTTATATAATAATGTGCAATAAAGTTCACATTAAAAATCCTCAATTGACATTATATTCGCATATAAAGTGTTATTCATGAATAACTTTGAAGTTTAAGATTTTCAGGTTTTTTTCTTATTATACAACATATTGTTATTATGCACAAAATAAAATATAATAATTAAGATTCTATTAGTTGTCTCAGATTTCCAAGCTAACAGTTTTCACCTTTAAAACCACAGAATTAACCAAACGCTACGTCTTGACTTTGTGATATTGAAAACATGTTTAAGTCCAATAGTGAAGACGTCCGGCACTGCCCTTGTAGTTGTGTGATTGTACTTGTTTGCGTTTTATGCAAAAACCATCTTCGCTAGCCATGGGTTACGATGTGACCCGCTTCTGTTATGAGGAATGGTAACGATCCATAACCCTCGTCTAGCGAAGACGATGAGGGTAATAACTGTGTATATTTGCCTAAACGTAAAGGCAGTACACCAGTACACAGATTGTATCGATATTCTTTGTAACTCATTTAGTTCGATATTTTTTCTTTCTCTGCATTTGTGTTTTATAATATTTTTCAACAACATATATCGCACTCAATTAGTTGTATTTATATTACAAGGTTTGAATGAGAAACACTTCTGACACTTCTATATATATCAAAGAACAGATTTGTACAGTTATACCAAAGTTTGTTTTTTTTTATAGAAGAACATTTTTACGAACAGTTATTTTGACAGATTTTTATAAACAGTTCTAAAGAGAGGTTCGAACTGATCCCAACTGTGCCTCTTCCAGAGCTTGAATTTCCTATCATGATTTCCTTGATAGAGGATTGGTGCTTACAAGGGAAGCTATTAAACCAAGAGTTCGAAGTTGTGAATTAAGTTGAAATTATCCTTCCGAAAATTTTACGGACTTCATCACTTGTTGGTTGACCGTTATGGAATAGCTGTTTCACAGATGACGACGGATATGTTCCAATCGTCGTTACAACAAACCCGTCCTCTTTTCATCGAATGTGAATCTGCTCACCCTTCCGGAACACATGAGATGAGCCCCGGTGTTTGGTGGGGTTCGTGTTGCTCAGTCTTTACTTTTCTATGTTGTGTTTTGTGTATACTGTTTGTCTTTTGATCGCTTTTTCGTTTTTTGCCATTGCATTGTCAGTTATATTTAAGAAAGTATTTGTTACAGCTGTTATTATTAACCATATGTTGCATGCAGCCAATATGCTATGATGATTAGAGATTTTGATATTTTAGCAGATGTCACTTACATATATATAGTGTAATATAAAGCTTCGTGGCTAACATGCTGCTTAAATTATCATTTTCGTACATTTATATAGACTATATCTTCTTGTCTGGCTAGAATGCCTACATGAGCAACTGTCTTTACACTGTCTATAAAGTTATGTTACTTTTTACAAACTTTTAATCGAATTCAATGAATAACGGAGCAGTTTGGACAAAATTTCAGAGCGCTTTTACGTAGGTCCCTCGAGTTGTAAAAACATCCTCCATTCTCCCATGTTTGCTGAAAGCAAATTAATGTTCTTTTAAAGCTCCGTACCAATTCTAACCAGCTTTGATAACGCATAAATCACAATAGAGTGCTACAATTTGGGATCAACCAAAGATCCTCCTTCCCGTAAAATGGGCAGATTTCTGTTCAATGTTTCAGTTTATAAGTTTGAAATTATGTTATGGCGTGTATGCTTTATTTATAAAACGAACTTACATGCTAATAAGTTTAAAATTTCTGACTGTATGTCATCTATATTTTATTCTTTTGTTCATTTCAGATTGTTCAAAAACAATAGCTATTTAATCAAAATTTTCAAAGATTTCAAGCAGCTAGAAACTGAGGATGAGATGAGAGAAAATGAAGAATTAGAAAAACACGCTACATTTGTTATGTCCACTTTAGACGAAACGATTACAAACATTGATAATTTTGATTATATAAAGGATCTGGCTCATAGGACAGGGAATTCACATCAACGATTTTCAGATTTTCAAAAAGAGAATTTTAAGGTAAGTACATGCAATTTTTCCAAAATATATTAATCAAAGTTAAAACTTTCCTTTCAGTAATGGCCATTTATATAGTGTAATATAATTATGTGGTTTAATCTAAGAAAAAGTCGTAATCATTCACAAAGGAGTAGGATTGAGAGGAAAAGGGTTCAATGCCCCCACTCTTAAAAGTGGGGACACAATCATGATTTGGCCCCGTCTCACGTTTTCACCTAATATATTGAAATAGTCTTTGAAATAGCTAAAATACTGAGTACTTGCCTGTCAAACTCACCGTGATAATTTATTATTATAGTTGTAGGACAGTTGTAAGAGCTTGTTAGTTTTTGAGGATTATGGAAACGTTCTTGCAAACTTCAAACTCAACAGAATCTATCACCTCCATTGACGGAGAATGAAGCACAACTTTTCATCATTAGTTTTCTTACAACATAAAAAATGTTTTACTTGTTCACATGAAATTCCTGTGTTCACATAAAGCTCGTGTTTCTAATTTGTTTGTCCATAAGAAAACAGTTGTTTTTTTTCAACTTCAGAAAATATTATATATTATTAGTTAGAGGAATTTTAGCGATAAAACACGTTTTAGGGGTTCAAGTATTTCTTAAAGAAGAATCAGTTTTACAATATCGCTTTTGAAATCGTAGAGGTTCGTCTATCCACATATAGAAAGTCTATATGAGATCAGCTTTCTCTCCGAAATCAATCTGATGTAAGAGCAATCTGTGTTCAAAACCTAATGTTGTGAAAATTAGAACATTTAAATGTTGTGGAGCCAAAATAACACCAAAAAATGACTCCAAAAACCTGTTGAGGAAAACCCTTGTACCGGGAAAAAACAATGAACTTTAACTTTAACTAAGGGGAACATTTCTAAGGTTCTGTATTTGCTCTAAAATTCCATGCATTTTTTAAATGCATCAAAATCCTAAACAATTGATGAACTAATATGTAATAACATTAACGATACCAATTGTAATGCACCAGATGTGCATTTCGACAATTAATGTCTCTTCAGTGATGCCCAAGTCCAAAATATTTGAAAGTCCAAAGCCTAATACAAACGTTGATGAGCTGACAAAACCAAAAAGGATCAAAAGTAAGGTCAAAGCCGTACAAAAAATCAGAGTTATGTATGATGGAGATATATTTCTTAATTTAAATGATTTCGAAATTTAATAACAACAAATTTAAATAGAACAATATCCGTATGTTTACCAAAGTACTACTGGCTGGTGATATTCTCGGGGACTAACAGTCCACAAGCAAAGGTATCAAACCAGTGGTAGTAATAGCATTAACGGTACCTATTTAATTGCGCATTTCATATAAATACTGATATCATTTTGGCGTTATAATTAAGCACTGTGATGATGAAAAAAAAATATTTTGACTAATATTTGTTTAAATCTTCACACTGACCACATGCACGGATAAACATATTTTTGTAAGGACACAGAAAACAAACAGTTTACAGAAAAAAAAATTGCATATGATTAAGTTGTAAATATGATTTTAGATCTGATACGACAAAGTGTAAACATTAAGTCCAAATTTGAAACGTCCTTTACATCTAGAAAAAAATATATATATAGTACACACCGCTTAGCAGCAATACGATTTGGCAATACGATTTGACCATGAACCCAGCATTGCGCTGTAATGTGCAAATGATTTAACCAATCACGATTTTATCAAAAGAATTAATTTCTGTTCTTTGGAGCTGGTTTATATAGAAATCATTTTAAGATAATAAGTTATTATTGATGAACAGATTGAATAATATTATCTGATCTTGTCAGACGGAACAAGACGGACATATGCAACGTCTGATCACATCAACGCATCTTGATATTTTCTTAATGTATCTTTGTGAATATAGAACTAAGCTAAAATACAAACAATTACTGTTTTCTGGCATCGAAATATTAACCTTTGTTTTCAACGATGTAGATATATATTGATTATTTTGTCAACTTATTGAAGGGTTATTAAACATGTATCAATATATATCTTTGCCATTTCTATTGCTTCGATATTTTTATATACAGTTATATGCTTCATAGTCCTAAAGGTAGAAAATTTAAAGGTTTCAAACCATATTTTTTCATAAAAAGCTCCAATCATAATAGATATAAGAAGATGTGGTATGAGTAAGACTATTTCCGACAATTACAATTAGGTTAACTCTTGGTATTATAAATTGCAAACAAATTGACGAATGCCTCATGATAGGATTTTAGACTACTTGATTCCATTCGCAGTTTTTATGGGAGTTCATATTATCCTGGCTTAATTACTTTTCGGTATACGAGTGTTTTGCCAGTTATTTACATTCCGCAGCATTCTCGATGGCGGTTGCATTTTTTTTATGACTTTTTCTGTCCAAAGTTATCATCAGCTCAGTAGTCAGTGCATCGGAACTGACATGATTTACAAACATACCTATCTTAAATTCTCTGTTGATGAATTGAAAAAAAATATTAAGATACCTAGGGTCAAAGTCAAACAGGCTTTGTTGGTTTGGCCATTCGTTTTTAGTTTCTTTTGACCATATATCTTGGCAGTATTCAAGTACTTATACATTCATCTTCACAGTATTCAAGTACTTATACATTCTTGGCTTTCAATTTCGGGGTTTGAACGTTCCTGACTAAAGTTAAATAATAAAAGGCGGACGCATCAAATTTATAAAATATCAATTTCATTTGCTTTCAATATCACCCTTTCCCTATAATGCAAATAGAAATCAGTAGATACATGTATAAGCACTTTTTTGTGATAAGATAAAAAAAACCCGACAGTTCTTAATCATTATATAAGTTTTCTAAAACTACACGGGTAGGTATTATGAGAGTGTGTTGTAAATGGAACGTAGAGATCGAATTTGAAAGTGAGGCTACGTTGTGCTTGAAAAGAATAACCGCTTTGATAAGTACTTTTAAACAAGGGAAAACTAAAACAGACAGAGCTGACTTTTTCATTCAAATAAAGGAGAAAACGAGGATGTGAAAATTGAACAAACCTCTAACACTAAATAATGTCTTCTGTTTTAAACAGTCTCTACACTCAGCTAACATATGTTCAATCAATAAGTCATATTTACACGTCTTATAAATATCAGATTTAGATGAAAATAAATCATGGATAAATTTTGACACGTCGTTACAGTACTAGTACATTAATTAGTAGTGCATTAAATAACAGTTACTACAAGTACATTATGTAATAATAATACGCTCGCTCATATTCACCATATAGAAATCTCGGGCACTCTTTTCCTTGATTCAATACGAAAGGTTTGGAACAAAATTCAATTAGGACTAATGAGAACACGATAAATGACAAATATGATTATTTGACATTTGGGATTACGTGACCTAGAATTTAGTGAGATCAGGTGCATTGGCAGGATAGATATCTCCAGACGAAGTCATTTTTTATGAAGATCTTCTGGTTTGTAACTATCAATTAATTAACATATGATAAGTTACCAGTCATCTTTGTGATAGCCTTCTTTATTTGCAGTCCAACGATTTCCAATTTGTTCTAGAGAACAGAAAATTAGAAAGTCAAACGATTACATTTTATAGAACACTTCGTAACATCTTGTATATGTATAGACAGTTCTTAAAAAATATTTGAAATACTGCAATGTCTTGCCTATTTTTTTATTAAATGAATTTGTAAATAATTTCAATATACAGGCCTCTAAAACTCATATTCAAATACTTTTAAATGTTGTTTTACAGGTTTTTAATAGTTAAAAGAAACGAGAGAGAAAAAATAAACAGCTTAATGTATTGACATTCATAAAATGTTTTACTAAAAAACCTCAAAATCACACAGTACTCATATACATGCAGTGACTAGAAAAACTGCGAAATTGAAATGTATATATATGAAGATATCTATTTCAATAGTTCTTTGGGAGGAGAGCAGTACGCACTTGGTCACACATGTTTGAAGTTCGATGACGTAATTATGATTGTTTCACTCCCTAACTAATCATGAATATTCACTACGAGAACTTGAACTATTCAATTTAAGTATGTACTGCAGGAAACATATCATGTTCGTAAAGGGACGTAAATTTTGGCTTGCTGCAAAATTGTTATTGCAAGAATTATATTACGCGCAGAGAAAGTTGCACGCTTCCAACATGCAGTGGTATCGGATTAATGTTTCCATTCCGAGCTGAAGTGGATTGCCCATTTTTCCCGAACCCAAAAGGGTTTGTTGCTGTATAGAAATATATCAAACTGATTACAAAAGAAATCATGACTGATATATATCGATTACATGACGTAATACAGATTAGGGGTTTAATAAGTCCTTTGCAACCGTGACTGATATCGATTACATGAAATTATACAGATTATGGGTTTGATAAATCCTTTGCAACCGTGACTGACATCGATTACATGACGTCATACAGATAAAGGGTTTGATAAAGCCTTTGCAACCGTGACTGATATTGATTACAAGACGTAATACTGATGAGGTGTTAAATAAAGCCTTTGTAACCGTTACTGATATCGATATCGTCACGGATAGCTGATAAAGCACGATTGTCATAATTGATTGTATTTCACAAACAATGTACATTTATTTATAAACTGAAATAAGCAGTAACATTATATCGGTAACATTTATTAGGATCAATGTTTTTCATCATAAACTTGATAAGTCGATAAGTAACACCATATTTCATAAATCAATATGTACCTATAATCTTTATTTTGGCAATAAATAAATTGTATTTTTAACCATACAAAACTATCAGCAGGTGTGGCAAGTGCCGAGGGTCTGAACATACATGGTTTGGCAAATCGCCGGCAAACTGGCAGTTAATTTAACTGCAGCAAATACGTTAATTAATTAGTTGAGGGCTGGACAAAACGATTGTTATACAAAGTACATTTGAAACTAATATCATCTGAGATTGGGTTGCTATGTGAGACCTCTCACTCAATTTGTAATTGAAAAAGAACTAG